AACAAAAATTATTATGACTCAATTATTTAGATTAAACTTGTTGAAATAAATACCAAAGTATTCTTGAAATTCTTTCCTTACAAAATATCATATAAATGTGATGTACAGTTTAGGAATTCTAAAAATATAAGCATTGTTATTTGAAGATTTATTTAAAATAAATTATTCAAATATCCAGATATTTCTGAGTAAAATAAAGTATGACAACAACAAATTTAGATAGTTAGAAGTATCCTTAACCAAATGTTCAAAGAAACAATATGTTGTGTATTATTTGAACCTTAAATCTTAAAACAAATAATCATATGTAATATTTTAAAATGCTTGAAATATTGGTGCAAACTATCTGATTGTCTGACATTATTAAAGAAACTTTTCTTGCAAAGTTGTTGCAAAAAGTCATTCCTTAAATAATAAAAGAAAAGGTTCCTGCAACTTTCTAGCAAACAAATTCTTTCTTGCAACATTGCAGCAAACTTGCTGCAATTTTCTTGCAAACAAATTTTGTTGCAGTAACATTGCGAGAATGTTGCAGGAAGCTGCAACAACCTGCAACTTTCTTGCAAACACTTCTTGCAAACAAATTTGTTTGCTGCAATATTGCCGCTATATTGTTGCAATATTGCAGCAAACTTTTCATTTCTGTAAGGGTTACCAATTGGCGCAAAAGCAAGACACCAGGACAAACAGGGTGATTTGCCTTAGATCCCACCAATAAAAACCAGAAGTTGCACACCGTGTTGTGTTAAGTATATCACCCTGACATCCGACTTATTTAGTAGAATGGCTGACATGGTATAATTATCGTGTTGTATATATAAGATATTAAAATCATGTTTAAGATGCAGAAGTTTTGAATTAATTTCTTAAGGTTAATTATCAGACTTGAGTGGGGGTAAAATAACTGCATGTATAGAGTTTGGGTATAATTGTATGCTCACATTTGCATATTCAGATTTCAAAATATCAGCAAATAGGAAGCTGGTATCTGAAAAAAATCTGAAAAGTACTCACACATTACAACTCATCACTGTCAAGCTGGTGACCAAGTATGAAGTCTTTCCACTCATTCATATTAAAGAAGTGTTTGAGAAAACAAATTTTGAAGTTCATATTGAAAATTTTCAAATTATCGGCAAACAGGAAGTTGGTATTTGAAAAATCTGAAAAGTGCTCAAACATAACAACTCATCACTGTAAGGTGGTGGCCAAGTATGAAGTCATTTAGCTCATTTATATTAAAGAAGTGTTTGACGAAAAATTTTAAAGTTCATTTAGCATTTGAAAATTCTTCAAAGTATCACCAAACAGGAAGTTGGTATTTGGAAAATCTTAAAAGTGCTCAAACATAACAACTGAAACAAACAAAAACTGTATTGGATATAAATATAGAGTATCAATTGGGAAAAAGGTTACTTTGCACAGTAGATCAACTGGGATAAACCCTTAAATGACCCCCATCATGACTTTGATTGAGAAGGGAATAGAGTCCATCCATGATATTCATTTAACAAATCTGTTGTGTGTTTTATGACTATGTGTGTTTCAATGCATGTATAGAAGTTTGGCCAAGTCACAAAATATATAGAAAGACATCAGATTTTTTTCTCTTTTAATCACTTTACCATCTCTAAATCCGATCATAAAAACTTGCATACATTCCACAATATAAAAAATCATATAAAAAATCATGCATACTTTGCAGCATATAAATGTTAAAAAAAGTGTTTAAATGTAAATAATAAAATGCGTTGTAAAGCTTGATGTAACCAAAAGTCTACAGACAACATTAACAACATCATGGCCATAATAAGAATGCAAATTTTTACCAGTCAGTCCTATAAAAAAATCACAGAACAATGCTTGCATGCATACCTTGCATTATATAAATATAACAAAATATCACAAAAACAAATATTGTTAGCTGAAAACAATCAATTAACAAAGTTAACAGTTTATATATAAAATGTATCAAGAGTGGACACAGCGATATGTCTTGCCTGTATAAGTGTTCATACATGTATTTCAATAATTTTAAGTATTACATTATCATTTCAATTACATGTACCTGTGTAGAAGTGGTCAAGGTGAGATTAAATCTTTTAGGCAGACATGTAGGCTTTGCAATCATTCCAAATTTAGTTAACCTAAAACTTTAAGTATCATTGAACAAAAAAACCTTAATTTTTCCCAATAAAGCATAAAATATGGTCAAGGCAAGATGAAACCTGTAAGACAGACAACTTACAAATATTCAATAGATATAATTGATTTATCACTTAAAGTATCTGTGAAACTGGTTTAACTGACCCTGAATCCCTCACCTGTAATGTTTTGCTGAAATCTTTCATCACTGATTAATTTGGTTTTTTAATGTATACTGTGTCCTTAAATAGGCTATTTTAACTATCATGTTTTTTTCAAAAGACAAAAAAAAATCATTTAAACCTTATGTTTTATTTAAGCCATAGTAGCTATGTTTCATGACGTACAACATTAACATTAACTTATTAAATACTAAATACCCTGAAACTCATTCAGGCTAGGCTGAAATTGATCCAGCTGTTTTAAAGGAGATTTTTTTTAATGTTACCAAACATTATGAACAAATTGTGAAAAAAAATGTCTTAAAAGGGTAATACATGTATCTCCTTAAGGGGTCAATTGACAAAAAAAACAGATCAAATAGGGAAAAAAAATTCTGAACCATAAAAATGAGGTAAAGGTCAGACAATTACTGCTAAACAAACATGTAGACCTTCAAAACCATTCCATTAACCGGATATAATATGATATAATGACTTCTTCGTATCTCAAAACTAGACTAAACCACAAAATATTAACTTCTATCAGTTAAACATGAAAATGAGGTCATGGTCAACACTATACTATAGTAGAACATGCAGTACACCTTACAATAATTCCATATACTGTACTAAATATATGGACTTGGCCAATGCAAACTAACTAGTTCACTGATCCATGAAATGAGGTAATGTGAAAACTGTCTTTACAGGCACAAGGATTTTCCAAGAAACCACAAATACATCTTATAATTCACAATAATAGAAAAAATAACATCCAATGAACAACTTTCTTTCAAAAAATCACTGAACTATTTAAAATGAGGAAGATGAACAACAGACTGAAAGTTCATAACATAAAGCATCTATAGTATATATGAAGGATCCAGGTCTTATAAGTAATCAACTGATTTATTTGGGTAAAACACAATTAAGGGGACAGTTACTTGTGGTCAAAAATAAAAGTTAACAATAAAAAAAATCATTTGTTAACCTAAATACATGAAATTTGGTTAGTGGGAAAAACAATGAGTTGTTGTTTAAATTATCCTTTGTAAACAGTAAGGTAAGTGCTGGTTACAGACACTACTTGTAAATATAACCTCTTAATACTTATGTATTTTAAATTACCTATCATACCTGTTGAGCCTAACTTATAATGATTCTTATACAACTAATTAACAAAATACAAATCCAACTGGAAGTACTGTGATCAGAGCTCACAAAATTATACCCCCGTTCCTTGTAATGTTTATGTCTTGGTATTGGAAACCCAAAATATCAATTTGACCATAAATCAAATAGAAGGTGCACAATTGCTGATTAAAATCTCAGTTTCATTAAATTATGATTAGGGGTTTAGGGGGAGTTGCAGATACAAAATGAGTATCCCAATTATAAGGCAATGGAAAAGTCCACGTTTTTAAAATAAAAACTCAAAAAATTATTTTGAACAAAAAAAAATAGGAGGTGCACAATAGCATTATATCATAAAGAATCTGAGAAAGTTTTATTAAATTATAATAAGTGGTTTAGGAGAAGTTGCACAGATACAACATGGGTACTCCTATTTCATGTATTTTTAGTCCATGTTTTTGAAATGGAAACACCCAAAATGATTTTGAACAAAAACAAAATAGGTGCACAATGGCATTATATCATAAAGAATCTGAAAAAGTTTCTTTCATTCTGATAAGTGGTTTAAAGGAAGAGTTGCGGAAACAAAGAGAAACACATTGTACGGGACGGACGAAGGGACAAAGGAAGGGACAAGACAAACAGAAGGACGGACTTCCCCATTACTATATACCTCTGCTGTACAAAGCAGGGGTATAAAAATCACAGAGAAAAAAAACATGGTTCACATTTTACAATGTAACACCCCTATCTTGCAAAGTAAAAAAAATAGGAATGTTATAATAACTGCACAGCTCTTAAAATGAGAGATTATATACATGTAATCCATCAAACCATCAGGATTTTACCTATTAATCATGGGAATTTAAATCACTGTTTGAAAATGGATCTCTTACAAAATGGTATCTAAAATGAACTCTTAAAAGTTAATCACTTCAAGAATCATTTTTCAAAGGTAAAATATCAAATTAGTGTATTTTTCTATTAATGTTTACATTTTTAACACCAAAATGCTGCTGAATAATAAATGAATTTATGTAATTAAAGTTATTTCAATGAAAACAAACAAGACATATTGACATTGACAGGACAAATTAAGTAATTTCAAATCTGAAGTAAAACTTTAAACATATCTAAACAAGAAGTGCTGTTCACTTCAGGAATGATTAAAAAATGAATTTCTGAAAAGACAAATCTTTAAAATACACTTTTTTACAAGAATTCGGATGGTTATGGACACTACACACTGACTACAATTTCCGACAATTTTCTATTAACATAAATTTTGTGATTAAAAGAATAGTCCCCGAATAGTCATTAATACTGAATTTCGTGAAAAGGAAGTTTTTTTAACATTTCACATACCTAAATTGTAGATGAAGTAAAAATAAGTAATTTGTTTACCTTAATATACTTCAGTTCATTAAATAACATTATTTAATGCTTTTTCACACTTTGAAAAGAAAAAAAAACATTTGCTTACATCTTTCTACCTCATTCTTTGAACCAGCATATATATTTGTCTAATACTTGCAAACATATAATATCATTTTACATTTACACTCCTATTACAAAAAAGTACAATCTATCAACATGAATAACAACTTATAGAAACATGGAACACACTTTGTCAATTTCCCCCCTACAGGATGGACAGTTTTGCCCCATATTTTCAACTTGCAATGCACAGACAAGACAAAATGTGTGACCACAAGGTGACAGGTAGGCATCCCTTTCCCGGTCCACACAGATCTGACAGCGTCTGTCATATGAGAATGTAACCTGAAAAAAAAAATACCAAAGCTAAAATATAACATCATTAATCAGCAAGCAAAATTTGTGTATACTTTACTTGATCTGAATAATATAATTGTATTATAATTGATAGATTTCCAAATGTAGTTAAGGCAGGAGAGTGTTGCATGTTCCATGGTATCTCACTCAAGATGTCATATATAGTTTTAATATTAAATGGATGTTGTTTGTCATTTGTTGTTATCAATAGAAACCAATATATCCAGGCAGCGGCCTTTCACAAAGGATTCAACTCAATTAAATCTGCATCAGTCGTACGAAAATATTAAAGTTTATTTTGTAGAGCATGTATATATACTACATCTGTACATGTGCAATCTTAAAGTCATATGAAACGAGTTGTTGAAAAAAAAAGTTGAACATGTTTTTTTAAACTAAATAGTTAACCTTTATCCATATACTTCTTTTAGTGAAAACTCTTGTGTTTTATTGTAAAACTTTATGAAATGTACGGCTTCTGAATTATTTACTTCCAGCAAGTAATTAATCTGATATTCAACGAATGCTTTTCCGTATGCATGATATTCCTCTTAAACAATGTGAAAGCCGTTACTGCGCAAGTACAATATTAAAATTAAATTAAAAATAAACCAACATTCATTGGAAATTAAGACATATTTTTTGATCGATGATGAAAGAAATCTTTTTATACACAAATTTGTTTTAAAACAGTTTTATAAGGTTGATTAACAAACAAAAACACGCAGAAAATATTTTAAAAATGGATTAATCAACACAGCTCAATTGTCACACTTATTAACCACATGCTTTCAGTGCACACTTTTGTCGATTGTTTATCAATATAAACGTGTCAGAGAACATCGCAAGTTCGTCACTAAGTTTAATTAGGAAAGATGGTTTCCATATAAAATCAACAAACGCATTATTTTGTTTGTAAATTACACATTACACTCAATATAAAAAGTGAAAATATATTACAAAGGTCTTAGTTTAGTATATGTGCATGTATTGGATGAATAATTTAGGGAACATAATTTTTTCCATCAACTCTTTTCATATGACTTTAAGATATACATGTCAAATCTGTTGATATTTAGACAACTAAAAGTTCTAAATGAAATAAGTCTATCAATTTAATATGATTTTTTTTTATTAAAATCAATATTTCTCTTCAGAACTTGACAAACCTGAGGCTTGGACAAGAGTTGAGAAATATCATATAATGTATTTAATTGTGTAGTGTTTTTTATGTTGGTTATACTTCATTTACTATTATGTCGTCAGGGTATCATTGGATGATAATCAAGTCACCTCTTTTAAGCTTATAATTCTTGAGAATAATTCACAGCTATCAATTAATAACAAGAGTGGACACAGATGAGTGTGGATAGTGAATATTGCATAAAACTGTGAGCCAACTCACTAAGGATACCCCATCCCATTATGGCATTTTTACTACACTACGGTACATTCAAGCTTGATACATGCAGCTTTAAATTTGGATTGTGATTAAATAGTTAACACAACAGAAGTTTCTGACACAAAAGGAATGTGTAACTACTATTTATGACTTTAAATAAAAGAAAATTTAAAATTAATAATAATTAGAGTTATCTCTCTTTGCATATTTTAAGTCAGTGTGTAGAAACCAGAAAAATATAACTACATCTATTTAAAGCAAGTTAATTATCTTCCTTTAAATATTTCAGACCAAGAATATCTTCCTTTATGCACATTCTCTGGTCATGTACTGGAACTGTGTAACGTTTAATTAATATTACTCCAGTCATTTAGGAGGAGTTGTGCTTAATGCCAAATATTGGATATTTAAACTAAGTGATTTCAATTATCTCCCTTGAAAAAAATCTGACCAGAAATATCCTCCTTCATGCACGTTTACAGGTTGTGTACAACAACTGTGTAAAGTTTCATCAATATTGATTTATCTGTTTAGGAGTAGTTGCGCTTACAAGACTTGTTGCCATTTATTGCTATATTTAATTCAGTAGATTCAATTATCTCCCTTGAAATAATTCCTACCAGAAATATTTTCCTTCATGCACATCCTTATATCATGTACTACAACTGTGTGAAGATTCATCAATATTGGTCCATTCATTAAGGAGTAGTTGCGCTTACAAGACATATACAGACAGACAGACGGACAGGGTGATTCCTATAAACCCCCCAAAACTTTTGTTTTTTGGGGAGTGTATAAAAATATAGAAACATGTGCCAAAGTTTTTTAAAAAAGGTTAAAGAGTTAAATGATAAAATGCTTAGCTTGTTCCTATATAGAAAACTTACTGTAGGTGTATCAGCATGAAATACAATAGGTTTGTTTGTATCAGTAGCACCTATTGGTGTTCCACCAAAAGCTCCTATTGATGTTCCTAGTGTGGGTGTTCCTAGTGTGGGTGTTCCTAGTGTAGGTGTTCTACTAGAAACAATTGCCTGAGGAGTTGCAATGTTCGGTGTTCCTAGTGTTGATGATCTAAAAGGAACATTCATGGCTGGAGATGTCATAGGCTTTCCAACTCCTAGTATTATTTCAGGCTCTGGTGGGGACATGTTTCCGGGAAATCCTAAACTTTCCAATTCATCAGAATCGGAATCGGTTATGGCAAGCATGTCATGTATCTGTAAAAACAAATGCACAATGTTTACTTGATTTGATAAATTTTAAATAGGCTGATATGTAATCAACTACAGTAACTTATTAATATGCCAATATTACCAATCCTTTGATTTACAAAATGCAGCATGATACATCAAAATGATCAGCCCAAAATGTCCAGGCAGGAATTGACACACACAAAATAGCTGATTAACTTTTTTTTATAATGAATAAGCTTTATTGAAATAACTAGATATCAGTGAAATGGGAGCCATCACAGTGGGCCCCGCTGTCCATAACAGACACAATCTTTACCATAGGACATGGGATTCCCAAATGTAAGTCTTTTTACCTTGACCTTTGACCTACAAAGTTGAACATACATTATGACACACCCTCTGGTGTTGGTCAATATACATGTGAAGTATAAACTTTGAAATCATAACGGTTCACGAGATATGGAGCGAACATGATCTTTCCCATAGGACATCGGGTTCTATACTAACACTTAAGTTTTTGTCCTTGACCTTTGACCTACAAAGTTGAACATACATTATGATACACTCTCTGGTGTTGGTCAATATACATATTATGGCATATAGCGTTTGCATATTCGAGGTTAGGCCTTGCTAATGCTTTAAACGACGTAATAATGTAAATGACGAACAATATTGGTCCCAGTACACTACCCTGAGGGATGCTGCTTGTCACCTGTTTGAATTCTGAGTAGCTGCTGTTTACCCGTACTTGTTGTTTTCTACCACTTAAGAATGCTGTTGCCCATGGTGAAGTATAAACTTTGAAATCATAACGGTTCTTGAGATATGGAGCAGACAGGATCTTTCCCACAGGACATGGGGTTCTATACTAAAACCTAAGTTTTTGACCTTGACCTTTGACCTACAAAGTTGAACATACATTATGACACACCCTCTGGTGTTGGTCAATATACATGTGAAGCTTAAACTTTGAAATCATAACGGTTTTCAAGATATGGAGCAGACAAGATTTTGTTACGGACAGACTGACGGACAGACGGACGGACAGACTGATCACTATAGGGCGACCCACCTTTGGCAGGGCCCTAATAAGCAACAACATGTATGTAAATAAAGGTATTCAGAATAGAATAACATAATTATTCATGTGGTACACATGAATGGAATTTGGGGGCGAAAAGAAAGTTAAATTAAGAAGAAATAATAAATAATGTAAGGATTAAGAATTATAAGGATTAAACACATTTTTTCTATAGGTTATTTATGTGTAAACTGGGTCGCTTACTCACAAACTTATCATAAAAGTCCTTCAGACTTTACTTCAGTTTGTGAGTTAACAGACCGAGTTTACACATCAATTACCTCTAGAAACAAGAGGCTCTCAAGAGCCTGAGTCGCTCACCTGTAATGTTTTGCTTAAATCTTTCATCAATGATTATTTTTGGTGTTTATCTTTATCTATAACAATATTCTAGACAATAACCTAAAACTGCAAAATTTCCTTTAAACATGTTAAATCATCAATAAGCTGCAAAAACTGCATTTGACCTTATGTTCTTCTTTTAGACATGGCAGCCATGTTTGTCGATGAACAAAACTTCAGATATAATTCATTAACTCAATAACCTGAGAAACATTTAGTGAAAGTTTCAAAGTATTTGGCCAAGTAGTTTCAGAGCGGCTGCAGAAGATTTTCAAATGTTAGCAAATATGATTGTGTTGATGACACAATTGTGTAAAATTGTCTTTAAAGGGCAATAACTCTTTAAGGGGTCAATTAACAATTTTGGTCATTTGACTTATTTGCAGATCTTACTTTGCTGAACATTTTTGCCATTTACACTTTCTCTCTATCTATCATAATATTCAAGATAATAATCTAAAACTGCAAAATTTCCTTAAAATTACCATTTTAGTGGCAGCAACCCAGCAATGGATTGTCCAATTATTTCTGAAAATTTCAGTGGTGATATATCTTGACCTAATGAACATTTTAACCCATGTCAAGATTTGTTCTAATTAAATGCTTTAGTTTCTAAGATATGGGCCAAAATCTGCATTTGCCCCTATGTTCTATTTATAGCTATGGCAGCCATGTTTGTAAATGGATCAAAACTTTGTATACAGTTAAAGTTTCAAAGTATTTGGCCAAGTAGTCTGCATCAGAGCAGAAGATTTTTAAATGTTAGCAAACATGATGACAAAATTGTGTAAAATTGTTTTTAAAGGGTAATAACTCTTTAAGGGGTCAATTGACAATTTTGGTCATTGAACTTTTTTGTAGATCTTACTTTGTTTAACATTTTTGCTATTTACACTTTCTGTCTATCTATTATAATATTCATGATAATAACCTTAAACTGAAAATTTTCCTAAAAATTACCATTTTAGTGGCAGCAACCCAATAATGGATTGTCCAATTGGTCTGAGAATTTCAGGGGTGATAGATTTTGACCTATTGAACATTTTTACCAATGTGTCAGATTTGCTCTAAATGCTATAGTTTTTGAGATATAGGCCAAAATCTGCATTTGACCCCCATGTTCTATTTATAGCTATGGCGGCCATGTTTGTCAATGGATCAAAACTATGGATACAATTTATAAACTAGATACCCTAAGGAACATTATGTTAAAGTTTGGAAGTATTTGGCCCAGTGGTTTCAGAGGAGAAGATCTTTGAAATAGTTTACGACGACGACGGACAACGGACGACGACGGACGCCAAGTGATGACATAAGCTCACATGGGCCAGCTGAGCTAAAAATGTGTTTAATCCTATATTACACCAAATCTTCTTTTTTATATTTGACCAAATGTTAAGTGTATTATCTATAGATTCCAAAGCTGGCTTGTAATTCAGCTTAACCATTCTATCAAGGTCAACTGAAAAAGTAATTCCGAGAAGTTGAAATGTACCCATTTCAATCCCCACTTAACACAAATTTGATTTTGACTGTTTTTTACTACCTATCCAAATAACATTTGTTTTTTCTATATTAATTTTTAGTCCTGAGATTTCAGCATGAAATTGGAGATCACAAAGAGATGCATAGAGCGACTCAGAAGAGCTGTCTAAAATCAAAGAAGTATCGTCTGCATACTGAGACAATTTAAATTCTGTATCATCTATAGTAATGCCCTTTATCTCCTCATTGTTTCTCACCAATTTGCCTAATATTTCAGCACACAGTAAGAAAATATAAGGAGATAAAGGATCCCTTTGTCTTAAACAACCTCGCTCTACAAAAAAAAATGTCTGACAGACAACAGTTTTGAGTTACTGCAGCTGTTATATTATTATAAAAAGTTTGAACCCAGGATATAACGGAATCCCCAAAATTAAAATATTTTAATGTATCATAAAGAAAAGACAAAGAGATTTAACTTAATGTCATATCAATGTAATAATAATTATAATACCTTAGACATGTCAGTATGTATTGTAATTGGGGTACGCATTTTGTATCCGCAACTCCTCCTAAACCACTCAAATAATAATTTAATGAAACTGTCTGAGATTCTAAATCATATAATGCCATTGTGCACCTCCTATTTGGTTTTTGGTCAAATTGATCTTTGGGGTTTTCAATACAAAACATGATCTTTGCAAGGAGTTGAGTATATTTTTGTGAGCTCTGAACACAGTACCTCTAGTTTTAAAAGGAGTAGTTGCACTTACATTAGACATTTGGACAGAGGGATGGACAGGATACTTCCTATTATTATCCTCCTACACCAAATTTATTATAATGACTGAATTTAGAAGTCTCCACTTCATATTTAACTGTATTAAATTTACTAGAAATAATTCAGGCTTAAGTATACACCTAATATATATAGCTTAAGATGAGAGGCAGGGGTATAATTAAATGCTTGGCTTGGAGGGACTTGACACTTACTGTAACAAGTTGAATACTTAATGCTGGGAAATAGGTGCACTCAAAATTGATGTAAAGACACACTATACTGACACTATAATCTATCAAATACTGGTACAAAACAACAATAATATCATATTCAAATTTGCTGAAAGGATTCATATTGGACATGTTGTACTGGGACAGTACTATGTTACGTAGTAAGCTATAAGGATATTTTAGGTTTACTTATTGATAATACCATTCTAAATAGACATGATTAAATAATTATAATCAACATTTTTTTTATAAACAAAGCTAATAGATACACACCTTTTCCTTAGACAACAGGTAAATCCTTGCTTCTGAAGTTTTACGTTCGTTGTAGAATTGTAACGCTGAAAAGTTTTCTCTGTTTATTGTTTCAGTGAAAGATCCCAAGCTCAGTGTCATTTTATGTAAAGACCCTTTCTTGCTTCTGCCACAGGGGTAATATTTATCTGTAAGCTTCTCTATTACCTCCTCATATGTTGCATTATATTTAACAAATATAATTTGGCTCCCACAATCAGTTAGTTTGAGTTTTTTTGAATTGGATTTTACTTGCTTATACACGTTGGAAGCAAATGAGTAATGCTTCCACCCACAATGAAATTTTAAGTTACTGCTTTGAGTGCTACTAGTGCTGTTCACCTCCCTATCAAGTCTTGCAGGTTCCTGAAAGAACAGATTTAAAATATTGTTATGTACAATATGAATGACCCTTCTGCTATAAAAGGAGTATGGTCGCGAAGGCCTTAATTTAGCTCATAAAACAAAAATAACTTTGTAATTTCATATGTAACAACAATTATAATTCACAATCTGAAATATGCAAATCAAGATATTATTAACCTTTTTCTGTCTCAAGGTTGGTAATAGGCTCTGAACAGCCTCTGAAGCTCACCTAAATCTACTATGGTTGGAATTATGCATATCAAGCCAAAAAGTGCATTTTACACATGCAGGGCTACATTCTGTTTTTAGCCATGGTGGCCAATGTTTTTTAAGTAACAGTTAAATCACAAACTTTATACTAGATACCCTAGGGATCATGCAGCTGAAGATTGGTTGAGATTGGTTCTGTAGTTTCAGAGAAGATCTTTAAAATGGTTTACACCAAATGGAGGGACAAATGACGATTTTTTTGTATGGCTTTAGGGACAATGTGAGAGACCTTAATGAAAAAAGAACTATAAAACTGTACAATAATCTTACTTTCAAGACATTATTATCATGAATACAAGATGCAAATAGTTAAAGTCCTGTAACTCCAGAACAAGTTAACAAATAAATAATCAAAAATCAATAGGGAGCTTCATAATATAAATCCCAACAATAATTTGAAGTTTCAAGGAAATCAATTTAGGAATACTAGAGTAAAATTAATGTGCAAAATGTGAAAAATTGCCATAATTCAAATGGTTAAAGTCCTATATATAATTACTCTGAAACAACATTGCCATTTTTTTCTAATTTGAAAGGGAGCTTCCTCCTATCAATCCTAATGTTGTATTATTGTTACGTGAGGAAAGGTTAAAAGGAATTTGAGCTATAGTCCGAAAACTTGAAAATCCCACCTTTTTTTTTAATAAAGTCCCATAAATCCCAAAAGCATAATATGAAATTAAAAAAAACGAAAGGGAGCTTACATTGATAGACATAAACAATTCACATAAGTTTCATGGACATTGGTGAAAGCCTTTTTGAGTTATTGTCCGAATTGTTGAAAATTCCCCCTTTTTTATGAATAAACAAATTATTTTACAAAACGTCAAATCTGAAATTAAAAAAAAACGAAAGGGAGCTTACGTCAATATATATAAACAATTCACTTAAGTTTCATGGAAATTGGTGAATGCGTTTTTGAGTTATTGTCCGAAGTGTGGATGACGGACGGACAACCGTATACCATAATACGTCCCGTCTTAGACGGTCGTATAAAAATGTGTTCATTGTACACAAATGTTTTATAAAAACAATTCAATTTTTATCAACGCAATTCGGTGAATAAACCGTCTCAGCCTCATGATTATAGATGATGAATTGTATACTACATGGACTCACCAGAATCAGCTGGGACTCACCATTTTCAAAAGTGATGTCAGTCCCAGGACTCACCATAAAAATTTCCTAGTGAGAACCCTGAATGCCCCACTCACACTATAATTTTCTATGATCAGTGGACTGTGAAAATGGGGTCAAAACTCTCATTTGGCATTAAAATTAGAAAGATCATATCATAGGGAACATGTGTACTATTAGTTTCAAGTTGATTGGACTTCAAAAACTACCTTGACCAGAAACTTTAACCTATTTTCTGACCAAAAACTTTAACCTGTAATTTTCTATGTTCAGTGGACCATGAAATTGGGGTCAAAACTCTAATTTGGCATAAAAATTAGAAATATCATATCATATCTTCTGTGGCAAGGAAGGAAAATGTTCAGCAAAATTCATAAAAGTTTTAAACATTTTAAATCACAAAATGAATGCAAGATATATAAATCTAGGTGCTGCCAGGCTTTAAAACTTTTTAGATTGTACAGTTTTCTCTGTATTCAGAGGTAATTTTATGATGTAAACACAGCAATTTTTGACAAAGTGTAAAGATGAACCTTAATATATTAATTTAGTTTATAGGGCATTGTTTACAAGGTGAGCAATTCAGGCTCTTGAGAGCCTCTTAATTGTTTATAATATATATATATCGTCAGAGGACCTGTTTTCGACCGTGCCCTATTTTCGACCAAATTTTAATTCATTCATTTGGATTGCACACCTGTATATAATGATGTGTATTTAAGTTTCTATAGTTAGAACAAAAACAACACTGCATGTTAATCTGATTAAGACATGTTTAAAGTTGCTTTCAATGTCATAATTATAAATTTTATTTAAATGTAGCTGTTTCGGCCATGTTTTTTTAAGGCCATAAATTGCTTTACTTGTATTTTTGTTTACAAACAATCCGGAAGGGTTACATGAAATACTTTTGGTAATTCTGCTTCTCCAACATCTGATCTTCAGGCCACATGACTTTCTTGGGGTTCTTGGTTGTATTTATTACAAACAATCTTGATGAAATGCACAGGGTTCTTATATAAAATGAGTGTCTGAGAAGTAATTTTTTTCAAGAAATATCTGAAGTCTTTAATAACTTTTTTGTAAATGTTGCAAAAAACATCGGTGACAACAACATTCAGGTTAATGACAAACATCCAAGTATAGAAGCTATTTCTAACAAATACTCAACTGGGTCAACATCAAATAAACTAATTTTTCAGCCTGTAAATGAAGCATTTGTTTCTAAAAGAATTGGTAAAATTAATGTTAAAAAGGCTACTGGTATAGATGGTATTTCACCAAAACTTTTACATGCTGCTAAGCCTGTTGTGATTAAACCTATCACACAGCTTGTAAATTTATCAGTATCCACTTCTATTTTTCCAGACTCATTAAAAATTGCCCAAGTTGCACCCGTTCATAAGAAAAACAGTGTTCTTGAAAAGGGTAATTACAGACCCGTTAGCGTTTTACCTGCTATATCAAAAATTTTTGAAACAGCCATAGAAAATCAACTCACTAAATACTTTGATGATATTTTTGACCATTTCCTTGCGGCTTTTCGATCAGGCTATGGCTGTCAGTCAACATTACTTAAAATTTTGGAAGATTGGAAAAAGGCACTGGATAATAATAATGATAAATTGCTTTACCTGTATTTTTGTTTATAAACAATCCGGAAGGGTTACATGAAATACTTTTGGTAATTCTGCTTCTCCAACATCTGATCTTCAGGCCACATGACTTTCTTGGGGTTCTTGGTTGTATTTATTACAAACAATCTTGATGAAATGCACAGGGTTCTTATATAAAATGAGTGTGTGAGAAGTATTTTTTTTCAATGACTTTTTGGGAAATATTTTTTTTTTGCCAGCATTAAAGAAGATAAAAAACGTGACCTACTTAAAAGTTTAAGCCCATTTTAAAACTAACTTTAAAATAAAAAAAATATGAACGTTGTAGAATCCCAGGGCAAAAATAAAATTTTACAATTTCTGCACCTGGAAAATTAACCAAAAGCTGCAAGATTACTTTTTTAGTACTGAAAACTATAAAATATTCATATGTTTTCTTTATTTATATAATCACCAGAATCACAATCTTTGAAAACATTTTCTTTTGTTTACAAGGGTCGCCCCATGTCCGTGTTTAGGGCCGAAGTTTACTTAGGTTGAAAATAGGGCCCACTTTAATCGACACAAAAGACAAATGAAAAACAAATATCGACTTATTCAAGTACACTTTCTAGGGTGCGCTCGACTTATCTGACCAAGCTCGCGTTTTTTTGGGAAGTATAAGTTGTTTAGGACTTTATGTAAACAATAAATGTCCACAAAACTTTTTCAAGTATTTTTTTTTCTGTTTTGATATTATTTCACTTAAAAAAATAGCAAGAAGGGGTTATACAGGGGAGTTCATAGATTAGACTTAATTTTTTACTTACTGCCATGTCTCCAGAATTAGGCGGGAAATCTTATCGTAACACCTCGGGGTCTACTATCCAGCATAGGTCGGTCTAATTACAGTATATCGGTACCGGTCGCCATTTTAAAGTTTTTTTTTTCTTTTTGCATCCAATTATAAAGAACTTTTTATATCTTGACCAGTAACTTTACAAATATAATATGGAGCAGGCGCTTAATTAGTATGTTTCACCTGAAGACCTCCCGCCGAAGTATTTTAAGAAGGATATAATTAAAGCACTGACTCCCCTTACGTGAAATAACGTAAGGGGAGCAAGAATGCTAAACTTGTTAAACCGTACTTTAGAATGAGAATAAGAGCCGCATCGTTTTCCAGCATGGGGACATGTTTTGCGGCTATTTAAACTACGTAAGATTAGCCTGGAGACTACTATTACGTGAAAAAATAGTTTTTTGCTGTATGAAATAGGAAATGAGATTTTAAATTATTGTTATGTAATTATAAAAACAGTACAAATAATTATATACATGTATTTTAATAAAATAAAATGTGTAGATATGTCACTAATTGGCATAACACTAGCTGTCTACAGGTCTGATAGGCTTTTGGGGGTGGAATTCGCATTCCGACGCATTTCAAATGGAACCATTCTAGGCATACATCACAGGCCATGCTGTCAAATGCATGCAAATCTTGTTTGCAAACAGAGCACTGAAATTATTTTTTTTTGCAACCGTCATGCCAGAATTTTTTTATACGTATAATGTTCACATTTTCGTCCAAAACCATGCTAATTGCCATTTCTTTTATTGATTTCATGCTTTCTATTGGTATTTATAAGACTGAATGGTTCAAAATTATATGCAATGATTTAATACCAACTTGAAGCAGACAAGGGTCGCCTTTTATCTCCAATGAAATAATAATGAATGGTCAAGTTCAAATATTCTTAGTGAACTCTAATCAATCTACAACTTTCGGACTAAGGCCAGTGGCAAGTGAATCATAACTCAGATTAGTGAGAGTTTTATTAATTTATTTTGCAAGTAATCTATTGCAGTGGTTGTAGTAGAACATTTTAATCTATTCCTAAAAAAATGTCATAATAAAAATAAAATCGAATTTTCTTTATATAGCAAAACAATATTGTTCACGTAATAGTTGTCTCCAGGCTAATCTTACG